GATTCTTTTGTTTTCAATTTTATTAATCTCTGATTTAATTTTGGATATTTCTTTTCTTCTGCTGGGTTTAGGCTTAGATTGTTCTTCTTTTTCCAATTCCATAAGATGGCTTATGAGTTGTGCTCACAAGTACAACAGATGTGCTCTCTGTTTTTCAGATGTAGGCATCTATAGTGATACATTTTCCTCTCAGGACTGTTTTTGCAGTATCCCACAGGTTTTGGTAGTTTGTGTCTTCATTGTTATTATGCTCAAGGAAGTTAATAATTTCCTCTGTTATTTCTTCCTGCACCCAACTGTCATTCAGCATAAAGTTGTTTAATTTCCATGTCTTTGTGTGGGATTGAACGTTTTTGTTGGAGTTGAGTTCTACTTTTAATGCCTTGTGGTCTGAGAAGATACATGGTAAAATTTCAATTCTTTTGATTCTGTTGAGGTTTGTTTTGTGTCCTAGGATATGATCAATTTTGGAGAATGTTCCATGGGGCGATGAGAAGAGCGTATATTCTTTAGCTCTGGGATGGAGTGTTCTACATGTGTCTGTCAAGCACAGTTGTTCTAGGGTCTCATTTAAGTCCCTTGTATCTTTAATTTCTGTTTAGAGAACCTGTCCAGCTCTGTAAGAGGAGTGGTAAAGTCTCCTGTTATTATGGTGTTATAGGATATCATACTGCTCAGAGTAATTAAGGTCTGTTTCAAGAATCTGGGAGCATTTAAGTTTGGTGCATAAATATTTAGAATTGGAATTTTTTTGTTGTATTTTTCCCTTGACCAATATTAAGTGACCATCTTTGTCTTTTTTTTTTTTTTTCTTTTTGCAGTTTTTGGCCAGGGCTGGGTTTGAACCTGCCACCTCCAATATATGGGGCCAGCACCCTAATCCTTTGAACCACAGGCACTGCCCATCATCTTTGTATTTTTTTACTTTAGTTGCTTTAAATCCACACGTATCTGAAAATAAGATTGCAACTCCTCTTTTCTTCTGAATTCTATTTGTCTGAAAAATTGTCTTCCAACCCTTAACTCTGAGTTTTAATTTGTCTTTTGAGGCTGTGTTTCCTGCAGACAGCAAATGATGGCTTGGGTTTTTTAATCCAATCCAAATCCGGTATGCCTCTTCAGTGGGGAATTCAAGCCATTGACATTTATTGAGATAACTGATAAGTGGTAGCATTCTATTTACCTTATTTTGTAAAAAGTCCATTGCTTACTTTTATCTTTTGCATCATTGTGGAAGCTAGGTTCTGTTCTTTAATTTCTGTTCTTACTTTGCTGGTCCATTGTGATAGTCAGTGTGTAGAGCAGGTTGAAGTAGTTCCTGTAGAGCTGGTCTTGTTGTGGCAAATTTCCTCAGTATTTGTATATCAGTAAAACATTTGATTTCTCTGTCAATTTTAGAGCTTAGCTTAGCAGGATATAGAATTCTGGGCTGTAAATTGTTCTGTTTAAGTAGATTAAAAGTAAAGGTAAATGACCATTGTCTCTGGCTTGAAAAGTTTCATTTAAAAAGTCTGCAGTCACCCTGATGGATTTGTCCCTGTAGATCAATTGGCACTTAGTCCTGGCAGCTTGCAGAATCTTTTCTTTTGTCTTGACTTTGGACAGGTTCATCACAGTGTGTCTTGGAGAAGCTCTATTAGAGTTGAGGTGACCTGAGGTCCAATATCCTTCTGTAAGGAGTGTGTCAGAATCTTTGGTGATATTTGGGAAATTTTCATTTATAGTATTTTCTAGTATGGCTTCTTTTTCTCTGGGGCATTCTTCTTTCCTTTCAGGGATACCTATAACTCATGTATTTGAACGCTTCATAAAGTCCCGTAATTCTGTCAGTGAATGCTCTGCTTTCTCTCTCTTCTTTTCTGCCTCTTTAACTATCTGAGTTGTCTCAAGAACTTTGTCCTCTACTTCTGAGATTCTTTCTTCTGCATGGTCTAATCTGTTGTATCAATCTGTTCTATTGCATCTTTAAGTTCCCTAACTGACTGCTTCAATTCCTTCAGCTCTGCTATATCCCTTCTATATTCTTCATATCATTCATCTCTTATTTGATTTCCTTTTTGTTATTTTCCACTTTCTGAGAAATTTCCTTCATTGTTTTCATCATCTGTATTTTAAATTTTCCTTCTGTCATTTCTATCATTTCTTAATAGGTGGAATCCTCTACAGTAGCTACCTCATGGTCCCTTGGGGGGTTGTTCTGGACTGGTTTTTTTTTTTTTTTGAGACAAAGCCTCAAGCTGTCACCCTTGGTAGAGTGCTGTGGCATCATAGCTCACAGCAATCTCCAACTCCTGGGCTCAAGCAATTCTCCTGCCTCTGCCTCCCAAGTAGCTGGGACTACAGGTGCCCGCCACGGAGCCTGGCTTTTTTTGGTTTGCAGCCATCATTGTTGTTTGGCAAGCATGGGCTGTATTTGAACCTGCCAGCCCAGGTGTATGTGGCTGGTACCTCTGTACTGGTTTTTCATGTTGCCAGGATTTTTCTGCTGATTCTTCCTCATTCTTTTATCTGTTTCCTTGCCCTAATTTTCCTTTCACTTCCTCTTGCTTTTTAAGTTACTGTGCCTCTGGCTTAAAATTTTTTCTTGAGACAGAGCCTCAAGCTGTCCCCCTGGGTAGAGTGCTATGGCATCACAGCTCACAGCAACCCCCAACTCCTGGGCTCAAGCGAGTCTCCTGCCTTAGTCTCCCAAGTAACAGGGACCACAGGTGCCCGCCACAATGCCTGGCTATTTTTTGGTTGCAGCTGTCTGTTGTTCGGTGGGCCTGGACTGGATTCAAACCCACCACCTTAGGTGTGTGTGGCTGGCACCTTAGCTGCTTGAGCCACAGGCGCCGAGACTGGCCTAAGATTTTGATGAGTCCTTTTGATACATGACCAAAAGGATGAGACAACTGAAAAAGAAGAAGGGAAAAGAAGATTTAAAAAAAAGAAAGAAAAAAGAGGCTTGGTGCCCATAGCAGGTTTGAACCCAGCCTGGACCAGTTAAAACAACACTGACAACTGCAATAAAAAATAGCCAGGCATATGTTCATGCAGTTCAGTCCTCACACGTTCTCTAAAATTCCATATTTGGTGAGAGCTGGGGGTGAGACCAGGGCCCATTTTTATTCCATTGCTCCTCTTTTTCTGCTTTGCTGCCTTGGGACAGTGGGATCAGCTCATCTGGGAGCTGGTGTGGCCCATGCCCTTGGCAGCTTGCTGGGCCAACCAGTACTTGTATCTTTTGGTCTTGGGCTTCTCAAAGTTCACCACAGACATAGGTACTCTCACAGTGTCAAGCCCATTTACCTGTACACAAAACAATAGGAATCTTCAGAGATCAGTCAGGCAGAAAAGAGCTAACACTACCCAATCGTAGCTTTTCACCCAATCAGAAAAAGAAGTATGTGAATACTCACAGTCACTTTACACCAGTGCTTGCCCCACCGTGTGATAGGCTCTTCTGGTAACTGTAGTGTTTGTGGGGCGACCACCACACCAAGCTGCAAAAAAAATCATAGCCAAAATGAACTCTGTTTCCTTGATTACCATTCTTAGTAACTTCATAAAGTGGGTTCTAGAATTTCCTGTTAGGGATGAATAAAACTGGAGATTCTACTCAGGCTAATCCCATGAGAGGGCACAGATCTTCATAGATAGTGGGGAAACTCAGTCCTCCTTTCTCAGAAAGGGAGCTAGATTCACAAAGAGACACACTGCTTGAGAATCACTTCAGCTACAAAAGTAGCAATTCTCCGGAAGTCACAAATCCCTAAGCTTTCCCTAGGTAGGCAGTAAGTGGAAACCATCATCTTTTCCTATGAGTCTTTGATCACATCTTTTCCTAAGAAAGGGATCAATCTTGGGTCTGCTTTCCAGAGGTAGCTTCCAATCTCAGGGGTATACTGGTTTTGGGGAACACTCACATTCTTGAAAAAGTGGCAGGCAACTATTTCAGGGTTCAGTTCCCATTTGACTTTGTTCTTCATTGCCACCTCAAGATGACAGCTTCTTAGAAATTTCACCATCTGAAATTTTAAGTAGTGACTGAGCTTGAATTGGAATTGGGAATCAAGAGAGAGGAAACATGTTAGCAAGAGTTATAAGGTCTGAGAGTTCAGGAGGAAAGGGGCATAATTTCTGCTTTACAGCCAAGATAGATGAGAAGATCACTGAGGAAGACAGAACATTCTTATTGTCTTGAACAAAGAGAAATGAATCTTACACTTTTTAGTGGTCCTGAGAATGCAGCAGACAGCTGCAGAAAAGCTCTGCTTCCAAAAATAAGAAAGAACTAAGCAGATATATGTGACCTTGAAAGAGACTATTTTTTTTTTTTTTTTTGAGACAGAGCCTCAAGCTGTCCCCCTGGGCAGAGTGCTATGGCATTACAGCTCACAGCAACCTCCAACTCCTGGGCTCAAGCGAGTCTCCTGCCTCAGCCTCCCAAGTAGCTGGGACCACAGGCGCCCGCCACAACGCCCGGCTATTTTTTGGTTGCAGCCGTCATTGTTGTTTGGTGGGTCCGGGCTGGGGATTCGAACCCGCCACCTTAGGTGTACATGGCTGGCGCCTTAGCCGGTTGAGCTATAGGCACCGAGCCGAAAGAGACTATTGTTAGAGCCTGGATACCAGGCTGCTGGCCTTGGCCCTAGAAACCACCACGACACGGACTGAGCTACAAGCTACCTGCTCGTTCATGGAAAGGCTTCCTCTAAATGCTGGGGAGCCCATTGTCTCAGTCCGGTTCAGGTTAGAGGCACCAGAGCATCTCAAAGGTGCAGCAGTCAGTCTTTATTTTTTTGTTTGTTTGTTTTTGTAGAGACAGAGTCTCACTTTAGTGCCCTCGATAGAGTGCAGTGGCATCACACAGCTCACAGCAACCTCCACCTCCTGGGCTTAGGCGATTCTCCTGCCTCAGACTCCCAAGTAGCTGGGACTACAGGCGCCTGCCACAATGCCTGTTTATTTTTTGGTTGCAGTTTGGCCAGGACTGGGTTTGAACTCGCCACCCTTGGTATATGGGGCCAGCACCCTACTCACTGAGCCACAGGCACCGCCCCAGCAGCAGTCAGTTTTAATAGGAGGAACCTTGACTAACTTCTCCCCAGGTTATTTACAGAAGTGATATACTACAGGTGTAGAGACTGCCAAGCAACCATGTCTGTGTTCTCATCTTGTGCTCTCGTGATTTTTAGCAAGAGGCCAATCCCTTCCCCATTCCCTTATTACCAATGTGTTTCTTTTCAGGTGTTTCCTACAGACTGTGTGACAAATAATAGCACCCTGGTTTCTTGAGAAATATAATCATTAACTCTTTGTGATTTTTTTGCCTGCTAGCTAAAAACTTTTCCCAAGACCTAAACACCTGAAACTGCAACTCTGGAACTGTAAATGAGCTAAGAATTGTACAAAAGAGCTTTGTGAGAATAGAAGCCAGTATTTTCAGGCACTTGAATTCTGGCTGGCAATAAAATTCCTTCCCCTATAATCTTTAGTGAGAGTCTATTGCTTTCAATTTGCTGGTCCTCCAACAGTCTCAAGATAAATGTTAAAAGATATTTTGGCAGGGCGGCGCCTGTGGCTCAAAGAGTAGGGTGCCGGCCCCAAATGCCAGAAGTGGCGGGTTCAAACCCAGCCCTGGCCAAAAACTGCAAAAAAACAAACAAAAAAAGATATTTTGGCAATACGTTGTGGGGAGATGTCACCTACCTTGCTGTTTCCTAAGCAAGGAGAAATAGGGTATGTCAAAGTTAGGATCACAATAGGGGTCACTACTATATCTCAGAATGGAATGACTTTCTTTCTTTCTTTTTTTGGAGACAGAGCCTCAAGCTGTCCCCCTGGGTAGAGTGTTGTGGCATCACAGCTCACAGCAACCTCCAACTCCTGGGCTCAAGCGAGTCTCCTGCCTCAGCCTCCCAAGTAGCTGGGACCACAGGCGCCCGCCACAACGCCCAGCTATTTTTTGGTTGCAGCCGTCATTGTTGTTTGGCGGGCCTGGGCAGGATTCGAACCTGCCACCTTAGGTGTATGTGGCTGGCGCCTTAGCCACTTAAGCCACAGGCACTGAGCCGAATGACTTTCAATAGACTGTTTTAACCCAGTATCTCCAGCCCTTCAACTCTACCCATACCCCACTAATGATTCCTCCCTGAGTACAGAATGAAGGATAAATTCATTAGCCTAGAATTCCAGATGTTACAAATCTCACACCAATCCCCTTTCCATCCATGTTTCCTAATGTATACCACCTAATCCTCTCCTTTAGCATTTTCTATGTTAAAACATGCTTGAAACTTCTACTTATACCTTTTCTTCCTTAAGAACATTTTCCCCACCCTCCTGGCCTATCCCAAACCTAATCCCACGAAGTCTCATGATGTGTGAAAGAAAGCCCTCTCCAATCACCCAAAACCCATTACAGTCCCTGGCACTCTTATAATTTACTCCCTTGAGTTTACTGATCACTTTCTCATATATCTATGTTCTCTCCAACTTGTCTGTAAATATTCTTGAGGGCACAGCCCTATCTCAAACTTTTTTTTTGAGACTGGGTTTCACTTTGTTGCCCTTCACAGAGTGCCATTGCGTCTTAGCTCACAGCAACCTCAAATTCTTGGGCTCAAGCGATTCTCTTGCCTCAGTCTCCCCAGTAGCTGAGACTACAGGCACCTGCCACAATGCCTGGTTATTTTTAGAGATGGGGTCTTGCTCTGGCTCAGGCTGGTCTTGAACCTGCCTGGGCCCTCAGAGTGCTGGGATTACAGGCATGAGCCAATGCACCCGGCAATTTCAAACTTTTCTATGTGTTGAGTCTCCTGATTCCCAGACTGGGGCCTCCTTCAATGTATCAGGACACCTCAATATGTCATGGTTCTCAAGAAATCTCCATGCCAGTTGTACAGGGCAGCCACAACACTGCCCCTTTCTCTCATCTTTGTGTCTACAATCAGAAATCTTCAAGGAAATCACAGAGATGCTAAGGAAGAAGTTAATAATTCCTGTAAGTACCAATAAATAAAGACATTCCCTATTTCTACTCACCGCCTCACCTTCCTTGGTCTGGATCTTCTGTAATTTTCCTTCTTGTCTCGGCTGAATAGAAAAGTTAAAAGGTGAAAATAAGTACAAGGGCTCAGCGCCTGTCGCTCAGCGGGTAGGGTGCCAGCAATGTACACTGGGGCTTGTGGGCTCGAACCCAGCCTGGACCTGCCAAACAATGACAACTACAACAAAAAATAGTCAAGCATTGTGGTGGGCACCTGTAGTCCCAGCTACTTGGGAGGCTGAGGCAAGGGAATCACTTGAGCCCAAGAATTAGAGGTTTCTATGAGCAGTGACACCACGGTACTCTACTGAGGGTGACACAGTGAGCCTCTGTTTCAAAAAAGGAAAAGAAAAGAAGTATAAGGAAAAAGAGTCCATGTTAAGTAGCATCAGACTCTTAATGTGCTGGGCATCAACTGGGCTTCTGGATTCCTGTTATAGTTCCTATTTTCTTTTCTTTCTTTCTTTTTTGAGACAGAATCTTATTGTGTCTCTTTCTTGGTAGAGTGCCATGCATCACAGCTCACAGTAACCTCACACTCTTGGGCCTAAGCAATTCTCTTGCCTCAGCCTCCCAAATAACTGGGATTACAGGTGCCTGCCACAACACCTGGCTATTTTTTGTTGCAGTTATTATTGTTGTTTAGCTGGCCCTGGTGTATGTGGCTGGCACTGAGCCATTCTATTTTATTCTCAAATTAAGTATCAACTGGAAAAAAGTTGCTAAAGGAAATCTTAAAGTTTTATTCCTCCAAGTCACTCTGCCCTTCTGTTAAGCTCACCAATTTCTCCTCTTCAAATAGCTTCTTGTTTTCAGGGGATGCATATATAGCTATTCCCTGATGAAGGAGGTGATTACGACCCACAGATTTCTTCACCGAGACCAGGTCACCCCGGACTCCAAGTTCTGCCAAAAACAAAAGATGATCAAAGCAAGAAGCCACAAAGCAAGAAGACCACAAAAAAAAAAAAAAAAAAAAAAAAAAGGCAAGAAGCACATGTTTTTCTCAGTATTTCTTCTTCTTCTTCTTTTTTTTGCAGTTTTTGGCCCGGGGTGATTTGAATCCACCACCACCTCTGGGCCGGCTGGAGCCCTACTCCTTTGAGCCAAAGGTGCTCCCCACATAGTATTCTTTTTTTAGACGGAGCCTCAAGCTATCCCCCTGGGTAGAGTGT